ACCAAAAAGAGCTGCTGTTATATTCAGTGCTGGCCTGACCTTGATACCTTGTAGACCCACTCACGTGTGTCTTTTTGGCTTTTACATCACATACTAAAATAATATACACAACTGTGCTTCTTAACCATACAAATGATTGGACCCCGAAAACATACCCCAAACAGAGGTCAGAAAAAGCCTCATTTCCATTTTTCTATCTTCAGAATGAAAAGCCAGTAAAGAAGCGAAGATGTAAAAATATGTGAGCAATTAATTACACAGAAAGATTTAGTGGTGTGGTCTGTGGTGTAAGAAAAGGCAACTGGCTAAACAATTTTGAACCAAATTTTTACTGGTCCACAATCACATTCAAGTAAGGTAAAAGAAAAGGGGAAAATACAGTAAGCCGAGGGCAGCATATGTTGATGTTGGTAGATGAGTGATTTAAGATGAGTTTTTAAGAGGCAGCTGGATGAGTCACATGCAATGACATATCAACATGTGGCCAAAACGCCATGTCGCTGTTTTTCAGCTAAACAATTCCTACCAGAATTCACAAAAAAGAAAGCTTCCTAATTAATAAAGGAGAGAAAGGAGGAAAAACAGAGAGGGGGGAATGAAAAAAGTAAATGCCTGCCATTATCAAAATGGTATGTTGGCCTAGCCTTTGTCTGCACAGTCTCCTGAAGCTTACAGTGTCACTACCTATTTAACCCCGCTTCAGCTCCCACTTGCTTTGGCAGTCTCAGGAACCACCCCTCTCTCTCTCTGCCTCCCCCCATTCTCACTGAAAATGATGAGTGGGATGAGTTCCAAAAGCTTAACGCTCGTGGTTTTTATTGCTTTTCTAGTTTGGTCTTCAAACTTTGAAGCTTGCATTGCAAGGAGGGGGAAACATTGGAGACACGCTAGGGAGGCATCGGCTTCTTTATCTAAGAAGAAAGGCAGTCGTGGCAATAGCAAGAACTACCATTCAGGTGGTTCCAACCCAAGGGCGGCTCCGCCACACAATGCCTCTCCTTCACCTTCAATTTCTCCTAAACCAAAAGAAGAGATCACTCCAACTCCACCCAAAAAAGGCTACAATGGTGGCGATTCTGCCATATTCAACGTTCTAGATTTTGGTGCTAAAGGCAATGGAGAGACTGATGACACTAAGGTAAATTACCTTCGATTCTCCCATATTCAACCTTCTTTTTCCCCCTACAGAAAAACTTGGAAATTGACATCTAACCGAATTTGGTCGTTGCAAATACCATAACTATCCAACAGCTTAAGGTAAGCCGGCCATCAGGACCAACTACTAGAACAGGATGGCGTTGGCCCCACAGCCAAGAATATAAAAGATTATAGTTATGGCAGTTTTCTTGAAACATAATGATGTAATGTGGCGGAGAAGAATATAATAAATCGAATACCATTAACCGATCGAAAACTGGTTTGGGTACTTAGAAAATACTTGTACGATCGGTTTCAGGCATTTGAAGACGCTTGGGCAGCCGCTTGTAAGGTGGAGGGATCGACGGTCATGGTGCCAGCAGAATATGTGTTCTTCGTGGGACCCATTTCCTTCTCTGGCCCATATTGCCAACCAGACATTGTATTTCAGGTAAACATGATCGTCTCCACCATGTTATCTTTTAATACTATTATAACTTTTACATATATATCCTATACCCGGGACACCCATGCCCGCCTCAAGGCGCTATTACAATTTATATTAGCTAATTTAAAATAAATTTGCAGCTGGATGGAACAATTATCGCTCCGACTGATCACCAAACTTGGGGGAAAGGTCTGTTACAATGGATCCAATTTACAAAGTTGCTAGGGATTACCATCCGGGGTACTGGAGTAATCGACGGAAGAGGATCCGTCTGGTGGCAAGATTCATCCTTTGATGAGCCTGTAGATGATGAGATGAAACTAATAATCCCCATAAAAGATCCCAGAGAAGAAACAAAACCGACGCCGGTAATGAACCCTATCTATACTCTATAGTGCGTTTTTCTTCCTCTAGTGGTAAAACTTAAAAAAAAAAAAAGGAAAAGGAAAAGGAAAATGATCGTGGTTCAATCCTAAAATATGTGGCAGGTGGGAAGCAACCTAGTAGGGAAAATGCCAAGCATCAAGCCCACTGTAAGGATCGCCCACTAGCAGAACTCCTAAGATGATTTCATTATATTTATGGCCTCGTCATCCTCAATCCTCATCCTGTACAATTAATTGAAATGTTTTGTCACACTCACACAGGCACTTAGGTTTTATGGAAGCTTCAATGTTACGGTCACGGGCATAACAATTCAAAACAGTCCCCAATGCCACCTCAAGTTCGACAACTGCGTAGGAGTCCTGGTGCATGATATCAGCGTCTCATCTCCTGGAGACAGTCTTAATACTGATGGAATTCACTTGCAGAACTCCAAAGACGTTCTAATCCACAGCACCAGTCTATCTTGTGGTAATTACGTCACTTCCAATTACCTTACCCTGTTTTTAGATATTATCAACTACAATGGCGGGGCTCAGTAAGGGAGTGCACGTCTTGAGATAAACTGAACACTAGTCATTCCATCACCACAACAACTTAAAGGGAGAATTTGATGGATAAAATTTAAAATATCTACATAAAATGTTATAGAGCCCTCAACACATGCAACCTTATCCACTATGGAGACTTAGAGTCTTTCACTACCCCAATTTGTAACCATTAAAAGATTGACACGTCACAATAATCATTCTTCTATCCATATAATGTTCCTACCAATTATATGTTCTGTTGCCAGAATACTTATTTTGTCTGCAATATTCAGTTTTTAGTTTTTATAAGCACATAACTTGTTTCTATCCTTCCACTTCATGTCTGCTTGTTCTAACACGAGGGTCCACTGATCTTGATATTGAACAATGCTATTAGATAGACCCTAAAGTTAACCAACACCTCTCTCTCTCTCTCTCAAGAAAATCCCTTCCATGATGTACCCCAAGCCCCACTATTCTGCCACTTTTTGTGCCTAAAAGTTATGAAAGCTAAGACCTATTGTAATAGTGATTCGGAAATATGTGTGCAATACTTCAAGAATTTTACCACATAGGTTTTAATAACGAAGAAGAAGGAAAAAAAAAACATGGACAATGAGTATGAAACATAAGGAAATCTTAGGTATGAGTTCGAAGTTAAACAGAACAGATGACTAATTATCTTCTTTACTCTGATCCTTTCAGGAGATGATTGTATTTCTATTCAAACTGGATGCTCAAACGTATACATACACAATGTGAACTGCGGGCCAGGACATGGAATCAGCATTGGAAGTCTAGGAAAGGATAACACAAAAGCTTGTGTTTCAAACATAACCGTTCGAGATGTCATAATGCATGACACGATGAATGGTGTTAGAATCAAAACATGGCAGGTACTTATGTTTATAAAGGAAAATATGTGCTTCATCATGTGCTCACTCACAAATGAACAAGCTCTCTAATGGATAATAAGAAAAAATAAACAAAGATGTGTACTCGTAGGCTTAAAGCAAATACCTGAAAAAAAATTAAGAATCTACATGAGAAGGAATTGGTTTCAGAACCACAATGCTGTTAAAGTTACACAAAAACAATCATAGTTAATGACATTTTATAATGAACAACCTTGCATTTTTTTAATTTTGAGACCCCGTAAATCATCTATAATGTTAAGTATTGAATATCCATGCGTATTGATAGAATGTCGAATGATACCTTTACAGGGTGGGTCAGGCTCTGTTCAGAATGTTCTCTTCTCAAACATTCAAATGTCTGAAGTTCAATTACCAATTGTGATTGACCAATTTTATTGCGACAAAGCAAAATGCAGCAACCAGACTTCAGCAGTGGCTCTATCAGGAATCAATTATGAGAAAATCAGAGGGACTTACACAGTTAAGCCAGTACACTTCGCCTGTAGTGACAACTTACCATGTACAGACGTAACGCTGACTACTATAGAGCTAAAACCCCTGCAAGAGCGCTATCACCTATATGATCCTTTCTGCTGGCAGACTTTTGGAGAACTGAAAACTCCTACTTTACCGCCAATTGGATGCTTACAGATTGGCAAGCCATCTAGCAACAGAGTTCAGTATGAAGAAAATGATTCCTGTTGAGCTTAGAATATAAGATTAGATTCTTGGTGATGTTTAAGTGTGTGGTCGGCATTCTCGACCCCTTTTTATACTTCTAGATGGTTAGATAAAGCATATATTTCGGGAAGAACTAGTTCATATGAATCTTTCCATATAGGGTTAAATATATTCCGAATGAAATAGTATATAGGAATCAATGTCTAGCTCGAACTTTATAGTTAGTAATTAAAAAGCTTGATGATGCAAATTTCCAATGTGAAATATGTTATAAAGGTGGTTAGGACCAGTCATGGTCTATAATCAAAACATTGGCCTGGATCGAACCATCGGAAACATAGATAGAATGATGAGTAGCTGCTCCTAACTTTAGAATCAAAATAATGCATGAGATATTCCAGAGCGAGCGAGTTGAAGTAGGGGTGCTTAAAACAACATTAACCATGAAACATTAACGTTGGCATGTCAACGACAAACTCACAACTTAAGGTGCAGATTATCCACCTTCAGGTTAAAAAGAACCCTAGTCAGATCATTTGTTTTACTCAAGCTGGAAAGTCAGCACGATTTGCAAGAGCTTTGTTCCCCGAAGTGAGTTCTTCAAATTTCAAATCGGATTTTTTGCCTTAAGCATCAATTATATCAACATTTCAATGCTCTGAGAACTACAAATGTCATGGAATAAAAAACGTTCCAAGCCTAGTTTTTTAAGACGAACAGTTCCCATATTCTATCGAACATTTCCTTGAATATCCTAGTAACGGGATCTAGATCGAATCTTCCGGAAATCTGAAGCATGATAAGTTTCGCGGAGATAGAGTTTTCTTACCAGTTACCAGAACTCCAATCGCCCATTGTCCCAAGCTGCTGCTTCACTCAATCGAAGCCGCTCAGCACATCTTCATCGTGTCGGTTCAATAACAGTGCAACATTCGAACACTTGACAAGTTGTCGAGCCCCAGACCACAAAGAGCGGCAGTGGTCTTCGATAACGCCCGCCGTCCCCGTAACAAGAGTTTCTCTGCATAATTACGCGGCCCTCCCTCGCTCGCAGCCCCAGATTAAAAGGACGAACGATAATTTAGCTTTCTTTAGCTCACGCGTTCAACCATCGAAACAGTACTCCAAAAAAAGTATCGATTTCTGCATTTCTCTCTTAATCTTCGAATTATAATTGAGGATAGGATTGATTCTCACCTGAGTCGATGCATTTTTCTTTTTAAGTTCCTGCCTTTCGAACTTCTCTCGAAAATGTGTTTTTTTTCCTCTCTCCCCTTTCCTCTCCCTTGACTTTGGGTACAATAAATTAACATTGGAGGAATTTGAAGTTCCGATTCGAAGAAAACGAGTAATTCACTGTGTTATCAATCCTCCTTGAGTTATAATACCAATTTGATCTCTGTTTTTTTCTCTTCAGCAAAATGTGGGGATCCGAAACTCTTGGCTGGTTTTTTAACCTTTTAAAATTTGTAGTTACGGATTTTTTATTATACTTAATTTAAGAAAAAATATACTTCTGCGATCTAAAATTCTGTGTATCTATCTATTTCATCTTTCAAGTTTTAAAAGGAATACATATGATTCTTGAGGTAAGAGGTGTCTACTTGATCTTGAAATTTCAAAATTAATACTTTGTGTTTAAAATTTGAGAAATAATTTTAAGTGGTCCTTAGATACTACTAATTGACTAATATTGAAATGACACCCCTTGGTATTTTGCTGATTTTGCAAAATATATTATTTAATAATTATTTATGATTATATATGTTTTTTCAAATTATCTCGTTCCTTTCCTTTCACCTTATTCTTTCTCCCTGTTCCAATGAAGTTCACCCCTGGATGTTGTTGCCGACTTCCACAAGGGAACGATGGAGAGAGGGAGAGCTCCGCCTCTCTCTTGGCAGCAAACGATGGCCAATTGCGAGCTTCACTGTGCGAGGGAATGAAGAAAAAGGTGAAAGGAATGAGATAACTAAAAAAAGAGAATCCAATCATATAAAAAAAAAAAACTAAATTAATATATATCGACAAACCAATAAATTACCGTCATCAATTTAACTGTCACGTTATTTTAATATTATTCAACTAGGTCGAATTAGCATAATGATCATTTAGACCCTCTCAATTTTAAAACTTCATACAAAAAATGTCTATTTAACATCTAATATTATTTGTTTATTGATATTGAAGTCTAATTTGGAAATTGTGACTTTTAAAATAATTACTGTCATGTAAAATAATTACGACTAAAAGTAAATTGGTGTTTCGTAAATTTTAGTTGTACGTGAAAAAGATGGTTGATATATGATATGAATGTTAAATTTGTTTTTTTAGTTCAACGCATTAACGTGGAGATTCAAAGTCACAACCTCGATATTTTAATATAAAATAGTTTATTTTATGCGTTGACCAATGTTAAATACATTGAATGATAAAATTATGATTCTAAATGTCAAAAAAATAGGATTTTAAATCATTGAAAAGTATTAATCTTCCAAGTTTAATTGTCAAAATGAAATTGAAACTTTATTTTTATCACACTATCTTTGCAATTCTCTTCATCCTCAAAAGAAAAAAGAAATGAAAAAAATACTTCAAAATTTGCTAAAATCTGAAAATACTTGCTACAGAAGGGACAAGCTATAAAAAAATAAACTATGGTACGGYGTGCAATAATATTTTTTTAGAAACTTGTAGGATATTAAATCTTAGTTAGGTGGTTACGATTTGAACTCATTCTTTCTAAATCATTTATTATTTACATTGATCTTCATTGACCACTTGAATCATGCGATAAAATAGGAGATATAAAGATATAAACTAGGGTGGATGCCATAGATTCGTTAGATTATTTATTTATTTTTGAAACAATATCTTCGTTAGATTATTAATTTACTAGCCCTCAAAAATAAAAATCAAGATCGAAGCTCGAGTTGTTTCACACAAACTTTGTCATCTCTATTCTCCTTCTTTTGAGAAGCTTTTATTATGGATTATTAGCCCCTCCAGCAAATCAAAATTAACATTGAAGTTTCAGAAATTTAGCGGAGATGAGCGGAAACGAATTCCGGTTCTTTTTGTCCTGCGACATCAATCTTCCCGTCACCTTTCGGGTCGAGAGGTTGGAGGGTAATTTGCCTCCCGCCAAGTCTTCTGATCCAGGTGCCCTTTTAATTTTTCAATTCCTCTTGGTTGTATTCGTAGTTGTTGCTCGAAAGCCTATCAAACCTTATTTGGGTTTGCCGAAGATTTTTGGAATTCATCTATTTTCTGCTAAAGTCCGACCTGCCTAATATTTTACTTATTTTTTCAATTCATGAAGTAGGTGAATTTCCCCAGTTGTCATAGTGATAGCTAGTTAGTTAAATAAAACATGGATCAATAGCTCGAATGTTGTATTTCAGTCGCTCATTTTTTCTGATTCTAATGATATTTCCGTTACTTTCTTCAGAAATATATTCTGCATCCGAGGAGAGAAAAGCAGAGCTTTTCGTTGAGTGTGCACTGTACATCGATGGTGCCCCGTTTGGCCTTCCTACCAGAACAAGGTTTCATCCCATGCAGTCACTATGAATTTTTTCTCAATCTTTTGCTCCATAACTATAATTGGGAGTTCAAGATTGCTTTTACAGGACACGCCTTATATTCATATTTCCTCTCACTTCTTTTCAAGATGATTTTTGCAAGCTTTATTTTCTATCTGTTAGGTCCTTAGAATTTTCCAATATCATTTTTAAAATTTGAATTTCATTTTAAAAAAAGTTTGTAGGATGCAATATCCTCATAACTTGTTATTGTACATTTTATATGCCAATATCTTTTTATTTATTTGTTATTATTATTTTTTACTTTCCGTTTCTGATAAAAGATGATAACAGCTCTTATACCTAACATGTATTATTGTGTTCCGTTAGATTGGAATCATCAGGACCTTCATATTGTTGGAGTGAACTCATCACATTGAGTACCAAATATCGAGACTTAACTGCTCATTCACAACTCGTTTTGACGGTCTGTCAGATTTTATGATATCTCTACTCTTGTCTGTTTTTTTCCCTCTTTAGACAATTATAGTATCTGAAGTTCATAATTTTATACATATTGAACTCCCCTATTATCGTAACCATCCAAGCATTTGGAGTTTTGGAGTGCACTTCCCTGTGATGCTATGGAAACCAATTGTAGGAGCCTGTTCCTTGGTTTGTACTCAGTTTAGACTTTGTAATTTATAACTTTTCCACCTGAATGAATTAATATTCATTATTATTGCCTATGAACATTGATAATGGTTGATATGCTACTGCCTCTCTTGGTCTGTACGGTTCTCTTTGTAGCTCTACTTATAATCTAAAGTACTATGTTCTGTTGTACTTGATGTCGATGAAACAAATAATGTTTTACAAACATTTGACCTTTTCTTTTAATTTAGGCTACCCTTGAATATTTAGGTTTGGGATGTGTCACGTGGGAAAGAAGAGGAATTGATTGGGGGGGCAACAATCCTTCTTTTTAATAGGAAGAAACAACTGAAAACAGGTAAGCAGAAGCTTCGGCTTTGGTTAGGAAAAGAAGCAGATGGATCGTTCCCAACAGCAACTCCTGGAAAGGTTTCAGACTGTTACTGACAGAGCATCAAGTTTCCAGTTTTAATACTTTTGTGGCTCTTGAATTGTTCATGACTTTATTCAACCACAAGTTGTCCTTGTACAGGTTCCCAGACATGAGCGTGGAGAGTTGGAACGTCTAGAAAAGCTAGTGAATAAGTACGAGAGGGGACAAATTCTACATGTTGATTGGCTAGACCGCATTACATTTAAAGCAATGGAGCTAATTAGGGAGCGAGAAAGCTCTAAAAATGGGAATTCTAAATTATATCTGATTGTTGATTTCTGTGGATTTGAACATCGAGTGGTTTTTCAGGTATTGTAGATCTAAATTTGTTTTTGTTATGTATTAAATTATTACTTTTATATTCTTTTAGTTAGAATTCCATATGTTGAAATACAAGTTGCTATCAGTTTTTGCGCCATATCTGCATGGTTAAGAATTTGATATTGATTGTAGAAAATGATCTCAAGTTTCTGTCATGAATTTACTATATAGTTGTTTTATTATACGTTGGAAGTTGCTGTTTAATTGCTTGAAAGTAAAAACCATGATGTTTTGCCTTTTCCAATTGTGTGAACATTCAAATCTGAAAGTACTGATGATGTCTGCTGGGTCTGCAACTATTGCATGGTTTCTAAGTTCTTCAATGTTAGTGTACCGGGTTTTAATTTGTGAATACGTTTCAACTGTTTCTATTTCAAGAGTTCCATCCCACCCC